GAAAGGAGGATACATAATAGCGTCCAGCAGTAGGTTGAGATTCCAAGAACGGGGAGGTGCCCTTCGCGGTGGGTATAAGTTCATCAGGCCTTTCTGGAACCTCTTTGTGGTGTGATGAGAGAACAGCGAGGAACCTTCTCTTGGGTGGTGGAAAGCACTAATCGCTGCTAAATGTACCTTTAAGGATGACAATGCGAGTCCCAAGTTCCATAGATGAAGGACGTAATCGAGGACATGGCGTATGGGAGAAAGAAGGGGTTGCATGTTATTCTGGAAACACTGCTTAGAGTATTTATGCCACTTTGCCAGGTAAGTGTTTCGTGTAGATTCTTTTCTACTATGTAGCAGTATTCTTTTGACCTGATCAGAACAAAGGTTTTCCTCCCTTCTTAGTCAGTCAACAGCCATGCCATCAGATGTAACGACTTGAGTCTGGGATGTAAAAGGGAGCCTTGATCCTGTGAAAGGAGATCTTGGTGAAGAGGGAGGGGGTACGGCGGCTGTATTGATATTTTGTGCAAAAACTGATACCAGGCTTGTCTGGGCCAGGCCAGTGCTAGTAAGATGACAGTCGCCGCTTCCACCTTGATTTTTTCCAGCATCCTGGAGATGAGGGCCATGGGCGGAAAAGCGTAAAGAAGTGTCCTCTTCCAGCTGATCAGAAGTGCATCGCCGAGGCAACCCTTGCCAATCCCCACTCTGGAGCAAAAGAGGCAACACTTCTTGTTGTAGGTCGTCGTGAAAAGATCTACCAGAAGCATTCCCCACTTTCAAAATATTGCCGAAAGCACGTCTGTTCTTATTTCCCATTCGTGATCCGTGGGAAAGCGCCTGCTGAGAGAGTTGGCAATCACATTGGCGGTGCCAGGTAAGTACAATGCTGTTATGGTGATGTTGTTCTGTAAGCACCAATTCCAGCACCATACCGCTTCGGCGCATAGGGAGCATGATCTAGCTCCTCCCTGCCTGTTCACATAATACATCACCGCTATATTGTCCGTCAGAATTCTCACTGTCAGACCCTGTATGTCCAAGAGATAATGTTTGCATGCATAGAAAATTGCTCGGAGCGCTAGACGATTGATGTGAAGATGCCTCTCGATGGGTGACCATCTTCCTTGAATTTGTTTGTCAGCCATGTGAGTGTCCCAGTCGATGAGAGAGGCATCCATTGTTATTTGGACTGATGGTTGTTGTCGGAGGAATAGAACTCCCAACAAAAGGTTTTGAGGTCTTGTCCACCAACGTAGAGACTCCCGAACATGCGTGGGTAGCAAAACCGTTTTGTGACTGTCATGCTTTGCAGGGACATACACCATCACCAACCAGTGCTGGAGGTTCCTTAGATAGAGGCGTGCATGGGAAACCACGACCATGGCAGCAGTCATGTGCCCCAGCAGACGGAGGCAAATGTGAATGGAGATAGTTGCATTCCCGTTGAGTATGGTGATGAGGTCTTTGATTGCTTGGAACCTCTCCAGCGGTAAATATGCCCTTGCTGTTAGGGAACCTAGATTTGCTCCTATGAACTTTATAACCTGTGTTGGGGTCAGTGTTGATTTTTGTTCATTCAGTAGGAGTCTGAGGGAGTTGAACATTTGTTTGACCACCGTCACCATCTGTTTAGTTTCTTGTTCTGTCGAATCTTTTATCAAGCAATCATCGAGGTACAGGAATATGACAACTCATGACCGACGTAGGTGGGTCGCAACTACGGCAAGGGTCTTTGAAAAAGTGCTGGGAGCTGAAGCCAAACCGAAAGGTGGAACTCGGTACTGAAAATGATAGTTACCTATCACAAAGCAGAGGAAACGCCTGTGCATGGGATGTATGGTTATGTGGAAGTAAGTGTCCTGTAAGTCGAGGGCAGCAAATCAATCGTTGTTTTCGAGAGATGGAATTATCGAATTTAGGGTTACCATTTTGAAGCGCTGCTTTCGAAGATGACGATTTAGGTGGCATAGATTGAGAATGGGCCTCCAGTCCCCATTTTCTTCTGTGTCAGAAAGTAATGCGAATATAACCCTTTTCCCTGGAACTGATCTGGGACCCTCTCTATCGCTCCGATGGAGAGGATATGATAGGCTTCTTGTTGTAGGAGGTCCTCGTGAGATGGTTCCCTGAAAAGGAACGGGGAAAGTGGGGTGGTGGGGGGAATGAAAGTAAAGGGGATGGTGAAGCTGGCCTTTATGACTTCCAATATCCACTTGTCCAATGTAATTGAGACCGATTGGTGATAATAGGGTCGTAGCTAGTGGTAGAAAATGGAGGATAAGCAGCAGAGATTTGAGGTGCTAAGTAACTGGATCCCAATATAAAGGAATTTAAACATAGAAGTGTCAACAATAGTGGCAAGTGAAAAAGACAATTGTGGCAGCAATGTCCTGAATAGATTTCAGGAATGCAAGGGGACAAGCCGGGGAGATCATGGGGTAAACGGGTAAAGCTATTACTTTTTGCCAAAGTTCAGTTTTTATGGTCAAGGTATAGTCAAGGTCCAGATTTCAGAGAAAATAATAAAAATAACAATTGTGATAATAAATAAATAAAAATGTCAGGTTCCATTAAAAAACATTTGGTAGTCCAGATTTGGCCCACAGTATGCCTACTGACTACTGCAGGGGCTCAGACAGGTGTTACCAAAGCATATATTAGTGTTTAAGGATGAAGAAGAAAAAGCACATTTTCAGAAATTTTACAAAGGAAGAATCACATGACTTACCAACAGCCAGATATGAGAGGAAGACAGAGGAGGCATATACTATTCTACAGTTCCAATCTCCTTTTACAGGGAATAAGAAGCAACTGTTATCACTTGAAAGAATGAGAGGGAAATGGGGAGAAAAGAAATGATCACAATGTATGACCTTGAATGTACAAAATATTTTGAGAAAAAGAGGAAAAATACGGTGCACTATTTAATAGAAAAAAATAATTTGATCTCCTATTTTTGAGCAAATACATTAAAAAGCAACAACAGATGATGACCACAAATTAGGAAAAACAGTCTCATTATTCCTTTTTGGATTCTGGAACAAGTTACAGAAAAAATAGAGTAATTCTTTAGTTACCAAATGGATAAATATTCTAACTAATCTAGAAGATAAACTATTGTCAAAAATAGTCTAGTGCTTAATCATTATGTGGAAATCAAGAGGAATACTGAAGCTTATGCTTCAGCATTCTCAAAACGTTAAACTATTATTGTCACTTACCCAGGATTCATTGTAATAAAGATTCCACAGGATGTATTGATACGGAGCATAAATCTATGTTATAAAACATATTATTAATCATTTACCAAAACAGAAGAGAAGGAAAAAAGAAAAATGTTTTCTGAAAATTTAAATTGGATAACAACAGAATGTGTGTAAACACCAATACTAAAAGACATAGGAATCTTAAAATGCTTAAGAACAAAGTAAAATTATGAGGGAGAATGGAAAGAAAAACAAAAATAAATGAATCTGGAACAACCTAGAACAAAGGGCAAAGCCCAAGTAAATGGGTCTTTCATAGAGAATTTTCACTTTTCCCTTCTAGAGAAAACCTCCCAGGCTACAATAGTCTGTTGTGGAAGCCCACAGCAAGGGTCAGAATAGGGATAGGAAGAAGCAAGTGGTTGGGCTATAAGACCCAAAAGAGGTAGTGCCTTCCCTTGCCTCTTATTATCCACTTCCCAGCTTTGTCTAGACTATATCCCTTTTCTCAAAAAAGGGATGTAAATTAGACACTTCAAAATTGCAAATGAAGCCAGGATTTAAATTTCCCACACCTCATTTGCAATTTTGAAGTGTCTAATTTACATCCCTTTTCTCAGAAAAGGGATGTAATCTAGACGCAGCCCCAATTCTCTCTTTACCCACCTGCCTCAATCATCCCCCCTTCACACTGTTCCAGAGAGATGTTTCCCAGTACTACTATAGTGAGGGTGCAGTATCCCTCTCTTGTGCAATCCCTCCACTGTTTCCTCTTTCCCACCCACATTTAGCATAACCTAGTGATTTAAGTGCATTTAGGGCCTTATTTAGCTACATAAAAGATAAGACCATGTTTAACGTTCTGTTTCCTTTTTAGACCATGGGAAAGCCAAACAGATATTTAGGTTTTTTGTGTTTCTTGCTAGTTTCTTATCAAACCAATAAAACAAACCTTGCCTACATTGCTCAGGAGAAACCATTCTAACTCTTCAGGAATATTTAAATGTGGATATCATAAGGGAAGGATCAATCATAGCGTAGAACAGGTGTATGAAATTCAAATGCCTTTCTGGATCAAAAGCAATAAATAGCCAGTTCTGTAAGGCTTTATTACTTGCAAAAGAACTAAGGAAATCAAAACAACGTACCTGACAACATGGCTATCTTTTGCTGCCTTGATTGTCTGAATCTGTGAAGCAATTACAGACAGAACTTCTATATCTATGCGATTAAACTCATCAAAACAACACCATGTTCCAGTCTGAACTAATCCACTGAAGAATTTCCCCATCATCTTAAAAAAAGAAAGAAAAAAACCCAGATATGTATATTAATAGCTGAAGCTTTGGATGATTTTTGTAATACTGATTCCTGAAAAACTGCATTGTCCTGTAAGCACAAGCGAGTAAGAGAAAAAAATAAAAATATTTGTATTTACTCAAGGGAGCAAAAAACCATTCAAGAAGTATTCTCTGATACTAATCTAATCTTATTCTGGATCCGGATCTGCACACAACTCCCAGACACCATCTCTAGAATTAACTGTATTCATTTGCAAGTAATTTTCTTCCACTATTTGATCTGAGGAAGTGGGTCAGGCCCATGAAAGCTCATCACCTAATAAACCATCTTGTTAGTCTTTAAAGTCCTACATAATCCTGTTTTTTGCATGAAGCATAGGACTCTCCTGTGAGCTGGGTGGATGGTGATGTGGAAGTACACATCCTAAAAGTCAAGGGCTGTGAACCAGTCCCTGTGGCCCAATGCTGGAATTATCATAGCTAAAGTTAAGATTTTGAACCATTGTTTTTCTCAAGTAATGGTTGAGTTTTCTGAGATCGAGTATAGGTCTCCAGACTCCAGTCTTCTTTTGGGCGAGGAAATAATTGGAATAAAATCCTCTGTCCCTGAATTGGGTTGGCACTCTCTCCATGGCTTCTATGGCAAGGAGTTGTTAGACTTCTTGTAATAAGTCCTTGTGAGAGTGGTCCCTGAAGAGGGACTGGGAAGGTGAGGAGGGTAGAGGGAGTGTGGTAAAGGGAATGGTGTAACTGGCTGACACGATCTCTAGGACCCAATGGTCCATTGTGATGTCAGACCATTGTTGGTAAAATGGTCTGAGTTGGTGTTGAAAAATGGGAACTGTAGTGTTGAGTGGAAGCATTGTGAGGGGGGTTTGCGAACCTTCAACCACGCCATCAAACGTGCTGCTTGTTGAGCAGGCACTCAGTTATTCTGGTTACGCCTTTTTTGAGGTTTTTGCCTCGTCCAAAAAATTGTTGGTCGAATGGACGTTGCTGGTATCTGGGATGTGTGAAGTCATAGCGCCTTTGGAAAGGCGTGCATCTCTTGCTACAGTATGGGGGTGTATACATCCCCAAGGTGCGAAGAGTGGCTCTTGAATCTTTGCTGGAATGGAGGACCTTGTCCGTCTTCTCCACAAATAACTTCTGTTTGTCGAACGGTAAATCCTCTATTTTATTCTGCAGTTCCCGTGGAAATGCCACAGTCTGTAGCCATAAGGATCTCCTCATAACTATTGCAGTAGCTGTGGTGCGAACCGCTGAGTCCGCCACATCTAGGGCGACCTGAAGCCCCATTAGAATAATAGATTCATAGAGCTGGAAGAGACCTCAGGAGGTCAAGTCCAGCCCCCTGCCAAAGGCAAGACCAATCCCAACTAAATCAACCCATCCAGGGCTTTGTCAAGCCAAGATTTAAATACCTCTAGGGATGGAGATTTCACTACCTCCATAGGCAGGGTTCGACAGTCAGGGTAATCTACTCGCCCGTGGCAAGTAGATTTTAGCCTGGCACGGTGCTGCAGTGCAATCAGCGCATGCGCAGCGCAGTCTGCGCATGCACAGTGTGCCAAACTACGCAGCTGGCGAGTGGGGCTCGCTGCCGCTTGTCAAGCCCTGTCCATAGGTAACCCATTCCAGTACTTCACCACCCTCATAGTGAAATAGTTTTTCCTAATATCCAACCTAGACCTCCCACACTGTAACTTGAGATCATTGCTCCTCATTCTGCTATCCATCACTACTGTGAACTGCATCTCTCCATCCTCTTTGGAACCTCCCTTCAGGAAGTTGAAGGCTGCTATCAAATCCCCCCTCAGGGTATGTCTACACTACAAAGTTAGTTCGAACTAACAGACATTAGTTCGAACTAACTTTCATAGGCGCTACACTAGCACTCTGTTAGTTCGAATTTAATTCGAACTAACAGAGCGCTTAGTTCGAACTAGGTAAACCTCATTCCACGAGAATTAAGCCTAGTTCAAACTTACTAGTTCGAATTAAGGGCTGTGTAGCCACTTAATTCGAACTAGTGGGAGGCTAGCCCTTCCCAGCTTTCCCTGGTGGCCATTCTGGGCACAACCAGGGAAACTTGTCTGCCCCCTTCCCAGCTCCGGAACCCTTAAAGGGGCCCATGCCACGTGCAAGCCTGCCAGCACCTAGCCAGCAGACCCTGCACCTGTCATAGCACGAACCAGCCACCCGCTGCTACCCAGCCCTCCGCCTCTTCCCAGGACCAGGCTGGCAGCTCCAAGGAGTCTGCCCAGGGCCGCAAGAGGCGGACACCCGCCTGGTCTGGCTACGGGGTTTGTGCCAGTTGCAAGGCTGCCAGCACCCGTGCCAGCACACCCAGCAGCTGACACCCCATGAGCCAGCGACCCGATGCCCCGCACCCGTCCCCCTCCTCCCGGGACCAGCCTGGCGGCCCCCAGGACCCTGCCCCGGGCCCCACACAAGCGCAGCCGGGAGCAGGTGTGCTGCAAGATTAAAGATCTGCGGCAGTCCGACTCCCGGGCCTGCCTGCCAGGGGCCGACCCGGAGGCGTGCCCCCACTTCCAGGCTCTGGACTGCATCCTGGGGGCTCATGCCGTCCCTGCCCCCCGGGAGGTGATAGACCCCGGGGCAGAGGGACCGCTCCCAGACA